GAGTCTCTTAGCTTTGACTTCAATCTTTGGGTCGTACTCCACTAATGCGCCCGGATTAGTCCTGGTTATAAATAAAAAAAAACAAAAATTAATAACTTTGGCGAAGTCCCCGACAACGGCGTCAATTTGACAACTGTCGTTTTCGATGTCAAAATAAATTCATTCTTCTCGGTTAATAAATAAGGAAATTCGTAGTAAAGAGAAGTAAGGGTCGAATCCACATGGACTTAGAAAATCACAAATTAATGTTTGAATGGTTTTAACCAGGCGAAAAATAGTAAAATGGGGGGTTTGATAAAATAAAATTAAAATGGTAAAAATAAATAAAAGCAATTTAAATCAAAAAATAAGAGAATAAAGTTTGTGAATAAATACGGTGAAAATAGCCTCAAGCTTCGCTTTTACTCAATTTCCTTTAGATCATCAAATAAGATTTTCTCTTCGGGATTAACGTCGGTTACTTTGTCTACAAGGGCTATCCCCGTGACTTTATCTTGTATACCGAATACCCAAGGCAATCTTTGATTTCGGCTTCGGTAATTGAATCTAACAACATCAATTGTCACATATCAATTACCGTTTAAATTCGTGGCGTCCAACTCAGATTGTTGCTTCAATAACCATCAATTCCGATCTCAATTCCCTCTTGGCGAAGCCATCTTGCCAAGTGTGTTCCCAGGAAGTCGAATTACTTTCTATAAGTCGAATCTTCATCCCACACATTTAATCGCAACAACCTCTTGACCAAAGTCAATCTTTGATTTTGAAAACTGTTTTGATTTTGAAAAATAAGCGTAAAGATTGAGAGAGATATTCCGAAGATATTAAGGGCCTGTTTTAATTCTCCCGATAGAATTGAGTCATCGCGACAGCTCTCAGCTTATGAAAAGTTTAGCTAAGCATGACAAAAGTCATACTTAGCATTTGAAAACAAAGCTTGAAAAATAAAAGAAAAATAAAAGAAAAATGAAAAGAATTTGAAAAGTAAAAAGAGAAAGCTTTTATAAAAACTAGAGAGAAAATAAGATTGTAATCCGAATGATGAGTTTAAGCTTACCCCAAGTGGGTATTTATACCCTCTAAAAGCCTAAAGGATAAACAAAGAAAATAAATAAAATAATCCTAAAGATAATTATTTTTTAATTTAAATTCAAACTTAAACTAATCTCCTAATGCAACTCTGCTCGTCAATCTTCCAGAAGGCGTGCGGAGGAAGTCTTCTAGAAACTGTCGTTGACTGGACCTTCTAGAAACTGCCACGTCAAACCGCGTCATGCCCATAGTTGTGCTCATGTCTCCAGCCGTAACCAAATAATAATAAAAAATGCAGAATGCGTCCGTTTTGTCACTAATTCTGGAAAGTAAGGACCTGGACGAAAATAAACATAACATGACCAATTTAGCAATAATAAATCCTCAAAACTGAAGAAATAACGAGCAAAGATTAACGATTCTGAACACTCGTCATATTCATATAATATCTTTTGATTTAAAAATGAAAGAGATTTAAATAGTTTATAATTTTATATAAGAAAATTAATTTTAAATATTACTTCAAAGAAATGTATTTCTCATTAACAATGATATTCAAACAAGTGAATATTTTGAATGCATTAAATGGTTTCAATGGTGAAAGAGAAAATAGAAGGTCCACAATATCTAGTGCATATTGACGTTGCATTGGAGAAGGGGAGACAATAGCTGCACCCTTATGGAAAACTCTTATGAAGTATTGTGGTTTGTTTAGGATCAGGACCCTAATATGGTTAATTTGTCGAGGATGTCTCCTGACAAATGCGGAGCGTCACCGATGATACTTAACTAACGATGTCAGTTGTGGTTGGTGCGGGGCAGCCATTGAAACTTTGTCACATGTATTCCGAGATTGCACGATTGTTCGACCGATCTGGGCAGAAATTGTTAAACCTGAACTACTTAAGGAGTTCCTTTGTATGGAAATCGAAAAATGGATTTAAATGAACCTACAACAGCCGCGATATTTTTCAATCAGTGAAGAAGAATGGGACCTATTGTTTGAATCGATTTTATGGTACTTATGGTATCGAATAAACAAACTAATCTTTGAACCAAAGTACTTAGAAGCAGAGATTATACTATCTCGAGGCCGCAGGTTCGTCTTGAAAGCAAAATATGCTATTGTTGCATACGTCGAAGAACGCTAATCGACCATCAAATGATGTGTACCCTTCAAGATGGAAGGCACCACTAACGGGATGGTGCAAGCTAAATACGGATGGAGCACGAAGGCCGACCAATGGACTCGTCACATGCGGAGGAGTGTTGAGAGATGATAGAGAAAACTGGATCGTGAGATTTACAAAGTCAGTCGTATGCTGCTCAATATTGGATGTGAAGTTGTGGGGGGGGGTATATGAAGGCTTGCAAGTAGCTTGGGAAATTAAAAACAAGGTCATCATCGTTGAGACGGACAACAAAGAGGTGTGGTTGTTGCTAGGGCAAATAGAGAACATGGAAAGGATGTTGTCAATGATACCACATATAGCGAAATTTCTATTACGAAACTGGAAACTGGAAACTTATGTTTCGATATGTCCCCCGAAGTGGAAATAAGGTAGCAGATGGAATGACCAAAATAGCCTGGAACCTCCCGTTTGGTTTTCGTGTGTTCCATCACCCCCTGATGCAACCTATATGTTGATTTAGGTTGACAAACGCGAGGGCGGAGCGTAATTTGTGTTAGTTTTAGTTTAGCTCTAGCCCTACTCCTTAGTATTAAAAAGAAAAAAGAGAATGTTACTTAAAAAAAAATTGGGTTCGAACAACTATGTGTCTACATGGCATGTATGTTATTAATATACTAAAATGATTATGAATCTATATTATTTTATAATTACCTCAAACTATTTAAAAAAAGTGAACGTCTTATCATACACTAAATTTATTGTAATATAAATTATTTATGACCATGGTCAAGGCTACTTAATAAAATTAATGAAATTATCATATTATTGTATTAAAGTTTTATTTAATATATTGATTATGTAAATATATATTATTGGTAAATAAAATATAAATCTTACAAATTCTTAATTGATCTAATGTCATTTAAGGGATAAATTATAATTAATAATAAGAGATAAAATAAAATAAATAAAATTGAGAGCCCAACTATGTATATATATTTTGTTTTTTTATTTATTTATAATTTTTAACATGAAAATAGGAATACATGTCTCAAGTTAAAGGGTAATTTCGGTCTAATGCGATAAAATATTATATTCTTAAATAAAATTTATGATTCTCAAATTATATTTATGATCACATAATTATAATTATAATTATAAATATTTTGAAGATGAAATTTTCTTGAAGAAATAGCATGTAATTAACATTGGGATTACACATGAATTTATTTCTTTATTATATTTTGATACAAAAAACTATTATTATATGACATAAAATTTAGATTTAAAATTAATTAAAATAAAAATAATGATGTTTGTCAATATATTACAAGTGTGATCGATAGTATCATAACGAGTTATTAAACACGTGGATATATATAGAATATTTATTTTTATAATTATATTTTAATCTTAATATTTATTTCCTATTAATTCTTATACCATTAAATTCTTTCTAAACTATAATGATATCCTATTAATTCTTGATATTTGAAAAATAACTTAATTATAAAACCTATACAGTGTTACTATAAAATAAAATAAAATAAGAAGATTTTTTAAAAATAAATATATAAATAAAGATAGAAAATTATATTATTATTTAAATAAATATGTGAATAATATCCTATTCTTGGAATTCTTTTATTAATTATGAATGAAGGGAGAAGAATTTACGATTTTTTCAACAACAAAAAAAAACTTTACAAGAAGAGGCTATTATTCGTAATATTAAAGAAATCATAAGATATACAGTGTTAATAATAGAAACTTTTTGTATTACAATTGAATTTTGAATATGATTGATTTATTTTGTTTTGTTGTATAGGTTGAACTATTGGTTTGTACTGTCTTGTTCTATATAAATAAAAGTATGCATTTATCATAAAAAATGTATATTGCTTTCTTAAAATTTTATATTTATAAATACAAGAGTATGTAAATTGTAAAACTTTCATACTGACTAACATTACAATTTTAAATAAACCTAGCGCCGCTGTATGCTCTATTTAGACTCTCTCCAATTGTTTTCGTTATTTTTTTATATCATATCTTTGTTTTATTTTAATTTTTAATAAATTTATTTTTATAGTATGTTTTTTTTCTGTTTTTATGATACGTTATCGATCGTTTGATCGTTATTTTCTTTTGTTTTTTTTTTGGGTTGGATTTGATAACACATTGACTGATCAAGATGACGCTTATTTGTTATCATGTTAATCTTCCCTACTTTGGATTATTAGATTAGATTTTGATATGTAGTTTGCGTTGATGGATATTTTTCTCACATTGTTCGATTTTAATTTGCAGTTTATCAGTGGACTTTCAATAGTTTGATCAATTTTATTGTTTATTTATCGATGCAGTCATATTTATTCGTATCTATCTTTTGTTCGAATTTTCGATTACATTTGAACATTTTACTTATATGGTACATATATAATTTTAAGTGCTTAGTTTCTTTCTTGTGTTAATAGTTAATAAAAAATGTCATAATTATATATTTAATTTACTATTATAATTATAACTATTTATTATTATTTTAAATATTTTATCTTTATAATAAAATTAGTTACTTTTTATTAAAAAACATTACAATTTTAATAATAAAATACACCACATTTTTATATAATAACGTAAAGTTTTAATCCTAATAACTATATAAAAATAATAAATATTTATTTGGCTATAAACGTATATGTCGTTTTTATTTCATAAAATGCACTTGCGATAATACTATAACGTATATGTCGGTTTTGAAAAGATAAAATTAAGTAGTAATTTAAAGGAAAAACCCTTTTCAAATCAGGGGTTTGTTTTTCATCTCTACCGTCGTTTCTCTTTCTCTTCTATGCGCTCTTGCAGAAGAGAGAGAAAAACAAGAAACTTTCTCGCATCTCGTCACACTCTAAATATCCAACCTCCTTTTTGTTGTTGTTTCTCTTTTTAAAGATTCAGATTCAGCGTTTTACATATCGCTGAGTTGTTTGGCTATTTTTTTTATTCTGACGGCGGAGATTGGATAGATCGAGGTATGCAGCAGAATCAGACGGTGTTGAGCTTAAGACCTGGTGGTGGTCGAGGGAACAGACTCCTTGGTGGTTCTTCATCCTCTTCTTCTTCTTCTTTATCCTTTGGTTCCCTTTCTTCTGACCTTCCTCTTTTTCGTCCCCACGGCGGTGCTTCTCCTTCGTTTTCCATTAAGGTTTTATCTTTTCTTTTATAATTTTTGTTCAAAATTAATATCTCAGTTTTTTTTCTAGATCCAGTCTTTTATTTAGTTGGATTTATTTTAGATGCTTTATTATTGGATTTATATCAATTATCTTTTCAAATTGTTAGTGTAGCGGCCGTTCCGTGTTGCTCTCTTGATATTGACTACTTTGGTAGTTGATTTGATTTTATCAATGTTATTGTTTTTTCATGAATGTTCTAAGATAGCTTTTATTGTTGAACATCTATATACTTTATCCTTTCCGTTTAGTAGCACACTTTCTATTTTCTCAAATGATTGTGTCGTTATTTACAACGAATTCGCAGATTTTTTATAGTTTATTTTTCACACCTTCCTAATTGTTAAAGAATAACTTATATAACTTAATGTTTTTTGGGGGTAATAAGTTACTAAGTTGTTAATTCCTTTACTGTTCTAGGCTGGAGACTCACGATTTGAGGGACGAGAACGAGTGCGGTACACAAGGGATCAGCTTCTACAGCTTAGGGAGGTAATTGCATGACCTTGTGCATTTTACTCCTAAAAACCAAAAGAAAAGAACAAGTAGGCCTTTTATTTGCATGCAAGGAGGTTGTTCAATGTTAGCATTCTGCTTCAATTATATTAAGCTGGCCTTGCAAATACGTTGTTCAGCATTGTCCTAATTGTTTTCGGTTCTATTGGGTTCATCACTTTTCCTAATTATTTTCGGTTCTACTGGGTTGTTCAGTATTTTTCCTAATTAGTTTCGTTCTACTGGTACTGGGTTGAAATTAATGGTACTTTGACTTTTCTTGATAGAATATCTGATTATGTTGTTTGCCATTGTGCCATCCCTTTAGCTGGTAGAAGCTTCTGATGAGATTCTTAAAATCAAACGGGAAATTGAAGTGGAACTCTTTGGTGAAGATCAGAACTGGAGTCGTAGAGAAAGCAATGTAAACTCCAAGTACTCTTTTGCATTTTTCTTTTTGAATGTCTTATTTTGGTAGCTAATAACCACCTTGATAAAATTCATGTACTTCCAAATATTACTGCTAAGGAATTGGTCTTTGTTAATACTTGTTTATTTTCTTAATTTTTGCTAGCCAACGAATCAGAGTCAAACTCGTTACTCTGAGCCTGACAATCGTGATTGGCGTAACCGCCCAGCACAGTTTCCTTCTACTGGAGAGGAGAGGTCTTGGGAGTCACTACGGGATAGAGAATCTGGAAACCAATATGAAGAAAATCAATTTAATCGTCAAGATCAACTCAACTCGCAGTTCTCGAGGGCTCAATTCTCTTCTAACCAAGGGGTAATTCTCTTTAAAGAGATAAGACTCTTTTTGTCTATAAAAGATTTCCTTTGTCTTAATGTTTGTGGTGGATGTTACCGAAATTATTAGCATACTACTTCTTGGAGTTGTTAGGTGGGTATCCAAGGCATGTTGTGACGTTTGTAAGTCAATATAACCTCCTATAGGTGAATTTACACCAGGAGATTCTTCACCTCTAGCTCTAGGTATTTAGGTTTATAAAAATATGGTTCATTAAGTTTGTCAATAATACCTTCAAAAAAAATAATAGAAAAATAAGTTCGCCAATATTTTTAAAAATGGTTTATGTATAATAATAAGATGGATCAACAGACTTAATAATCTTACATTGGGTTTTTTATTTTATTTTGTTTATCAACTCATCCGCTAATTTTCATTGCATTGTTTTCAGTATTCTATGGTGATAGCGTTCTAGGAACTCTGCTACTTATGTTGTCTTCATGTTAACTTCTTTGTATTTATTCCTGTTATTGTAAGAACCAAGTTTACCCCTCTAGTAATCTATGTATGTAATTTGGCTTTCACTTCAAGATTTGTTTCCTTTGTTGAACCAGGGAGGACCAGCTCCAGCCTTGATCAAGGCTGAGGTGCCATGGTCAGTTAGAAGGGAGAATCTTTCTGAGAAGGAGTGTGTTCTAAAGGCTGTAAAAGGGTAAATATATTGAAAATATGTATCTTGAATCTTATGTGTTCTATTTACTGGAGTGAGGCATTTCCATGAATTTCATTGGAATCTGTTATGGTCTATCAAGTTCTTGAAATTCTGAGTTAAACAGTTTTTAGAATGGCTGGTATAGATGTGCATTCATTTTTACAATTTGACAACAGTGAGAAATGCAAATGTATCTTATGATTCCTCCATTTTGCCATGGCTTCCATTTTGTAAAAAAAATTGTGAACTTGTTTAGTGGTTTTGATTTTGTGGAGTATGATCTTTTTTCCACAACAAATTTATGATTTTACTAATGAACTGATGTTATTCTGAATGGTTGTGTTATATGTGCAGAATACTGAACAAATTGACTCCTGAGAAGTATGATCTTCTAAAGGGTCAACTTATTGATTCTGGTATCATGTCAGCCGATATCTTAAAGGTTATTGCTTTTTAGCGTCTCTATTCTTTTTTATTACATGTGTGTATAATTTTATTTATATAAAGGTATAAACTCACACACTTTATGTAGAATTCAGAGTAATTCTCTGTAATTTCTTATTCTTTTCAATATGACAGATTACATATTTATATACAAAATATCTCTCTAAAGTAGGAAACTCTAAGAAAAAATAATAATAATCCTAGGATATGATCTCTTAAAATAAGAGATTGTAGAAATCTATTTACAAAATCATATCTCTATAGGAATGGTAACAAATCATATCTCTATAGGAATGGTAACAAATCATCTCTATAATTCCTACATTACCCCTCAAGCTGGAGAATATACATTGTATAATCCCAGCTTGAATAGGAATTTATTGAAAACAGGCTTTGGCAAAGCCTTAGTAAGACTGTCTGCAACTTGTTCTTCTGAAGGAATGTATGAAAGTGTGGCTGTCTTTTTGTTAACTTGATCAACAATAAAGTGCCTATCAATCTCAACATGCTTTGTCCGATCATGTTGAACTGGGTTCTTGGCAATTTGAATAGCAAATTGATTATCACACAAAACTTCAAAGTGATCCTCTTGATTAATGACAAGTTCTTTCAGTAGTATAAGTAGCCAAATTCCTTCGCATATTCCCAATGCTAGTGCTCTAAATTCAACTTCAGCACTACTTCTTGAAACGACATATTGTTTCTTACTTCTCCAAGTTGTAAGGTTTCCCCAAACAAAGGTGCAGTAGCCACTAGTGGATCTCCTTTCAGTAAGGTCTCCGGCCCAACTAGAATCTGTAAAGATCTTAACAGTTCTGTCTTCTGTCTTCTTAAACATTAAACCGTGTCCTGGAGTTTTCTTCAAGTACTTGAGAATTCTATTTGCTGCTGCCATGTGCTCTTCAATAGGATTAGTCATGTGTTGACTTATCACATTTACAGGAAATGCTATATCTGGCCTTGTCAAGGATAAATAAATTAGTTTCCCAACTAATCTTTGAAATTTCTCTTTGTCTACCAAGGACCCATCTTCTTTGTTAAATTTCAAGCTTGCCTCCACTGGTGTATCAATCGGCTTACAATCAAGAAAACCAGTTTCTTTGAGTAAATCAAGTACATATTTTCTTTGGTTGATCACAAGTCCTTCTTTTGACCTTGCCACCTCCATTCCTAGGAAATACCTTAGCTTTCCCAAGTCTTAGTTTCGAATTCCTTATTTAACAACTTCTTCAAATTGCAAATCTCTTTTTCATCATCTCCGGTAAGAATTATGTCGTCCACGTACACAATAAGGATAGCTTTCTTATTTGTAGAAGTTACCTTGATGAAAAGAGTGTGATCGGCGAGGGATTGCTTGTAGCCGTTTTTTAGGATGACTTTAGTGAACCTCTCGAACCAAGCTCTGGGTGATTGTTTTAACCCGTATAGAGACTTGTTGAGCTTGCACACCTTGTTACTTCCTTCAACAGACTTTAAGTCAGGTGGCAACTTCATATAGACTTCTTCTTCTAGCTTGCCATTAAGAAAAACGTTTTTTACATCAAGTTGGTGTAATTTCCAATCGCAATTTACAACCAAACTTAGGAGTACTCGAACAGTATTCAACTTCGCCACAGGTGCAAAAGTTTCTGTGAAATCTATCCCATATGTTTGTGTAAAGCCTCTGGCCACTAGTCTCGCTTTGTATCGTTGGATGCTACAATTTGAGTTATACTTTACAGTAAAGATCCATTTACAGTCAACAACCTTTTTTCCTTGAGGAAGGTCCGTAACAGTCCAAGTAGCATTTTTCTCCAGTGCACAAATTTCCTCTTCAACAACCCTTCTCCATTTTGAATCCTTTAGAGCTTCAGCTATGCTTGTGGGAATCTGTTCTTTATCCAAGTTTGCTATAAATGCTTGAAAAGACGGCATCAATGAATTATAACCAGCAAATTTTTCAATAGGATGCTTGGTGCACTGTCTAACCCCTTTTCTAATAGCAATAGGAAAGTCATCTAGAGTAGGGGAAGTGGACTTACTGATTTTTTCTTCTATTTCGGCAGCTGGACCCAAATCCAATTCTCGGCAAGCATCAGATTGCAAAACAGACTCAGGAATATGTTTTCTTTTCCTTGTATAGAAACAAAGCTGTTTGATTGGTGTTTGTGGAATATTTTGAATGGAGTAGGTGTATTTTCAGGAAAGGTATTTAAAGTGGGTATGGGTGAAGTAGTGATAGGTACTACCGGTGGATCAATGGGAGTAGTTACAGGTGACAAATCTGTAGGTAAGGACAAAATTGGTGGCAATTCTGAAGGATGAGAATGAAGAGTATGAGGAGATACCTGATGTGGTTGAAAATTCTTCCATGTCTCCCCTGAATTTCAGCCTGAGTGAAATAGGGATCCTGCTCATAAAATGTTATATCCATAGTGGTAAAAAATCGTTTTGAAGGAGGATGATAGCATTTATAACCCTTCTTAAGTGAAGAATACCCAACCAGTACACACTTTAATGATTTAAGATTTAACTTAGACTTATTAGGAGCAATGTTTTGGATAAAAACAGTACAACCAAATATTTTAAGTGGAAGAATGGAGGAGATAGGTTTAAAATGGGGAAAGTATTGCGCAGCGGAAGCATGGTGGGCCCATAACCCATAGGTCCCAGGATCGTAACCTGGCTCTGATACCATATAGAATTCAGCGTAATTCTCTGTAATTTCTTATTCTTTTCAATATGACAGATTACATATTTATATACAAAATATCTTTCTAAAGTAGGAAACTCTAAGAAAGGAAAAATAATAATCCTAGGATATGATCCCTTAAAATAAGGGATTGTAGAAATCTATTTACAAAATCATATCTCTATAGGAATGATAACAAATCATATCTCTATAGGAATGGTAACTAATCATCTCTATAATTCCTACACTTTATTTTCTTCCTTGCATCTTTAGTTATAATATATTACTGATGATGTCTCCCTCTCTTTATAGGGTGTTATTTCTCTGATTTTCGACAAGGCTGTTTTGGAGCCCACATTTTGTCCTATGTATGCACTTTTGTGTTCTGATCTTAACGATAAGCTCCCTTCATTCCCATCTGATGAACCTGGCGGAAAAGAAATCACTTTTAAGCGAGTCCTCTTGAATAACTGTCAGGAGGCATTTGAGGGAGCTGGCAAGATCAGGCAAGAAGTGGGACAGATGATTTCTCCTGAACAAGAGATGGAGCGTAGAGATAAAGAAAGGATAGTCAAACTTCGAACTCTTGGCAACATCCGTTTAATTGGTGAGCTTCTGAAGCAGAAAATGGTGCCTGAGAAGATAGTGCATCACATTGTACAGGTTATTGACAGTACTTTGTTTCTCATGGCCATGAATCAAACTTTGGTTTAAGTAATTTACTAATATATATGAGTGTATTTTGCTTATTCTGGTGAACAGGAGCTTTTGGGTCCTGATACCAAAGTTTGTCCTGCTGAGGAAAATGTTGAAGCCATTTGTCAGTTTTTCAACATTATTGGTAAGCAGCTTGATGAGAGTCCAAAATCACGGCGTATAAATGATGTCTACTTCAACAGACTGAAGGAATTGACTACAAATCCTCAGCTTGCACCAAGATTGAGATTTATGGTTCGTGATGTTCTTGATCTGCGTGCAAACAACTGGGTTCCCAGACGTGAGGAGGTAACTCATAAAGGCCATTGATGTTTCTGTCTTTGATTAGATACACTGTTGATATATCCATTTTAATGGGTTTTGGTATCTCCTTTTTTAATTGATTTTTGTAGATAAAAGCCAAAACAATTACAGAAATCCATTCGGAAGCTGAAAAAAATCTTGGGCTTCGTCCAGGCGCTACTGCAGGTATGAGGAATAGTCGTGTTGTTTCTGCTGGTCCAGTGAGTCCTGGTCCTGAGGGGTTTCCTATCAATCGTCCTGGTAGTGGGGGTATGATGCCTGGAATGCCAGGAACTAGGAGGATGCCTGGGATGGACAATGATAATTGGGAGGTTCCCAAAACCCGGTCAATGCCAAGGGGTGATGGACAGGGTACACAGCCTGGAGGGCGTGTCCCGTCGCCATTAACCAATAAGTCGACACCAACGAATCCAAGGTTGTTACCTCAAGGTAGCGGTGGCCTGGTGATTGGTAGGACAAGTGCCCTGTTGCAGGGTAGTTCAACTCCTGCTGCTAGGCCATCCAACTCGATTTTAGGTGCTGAGCCTGTTGCACAACCTTCTATTTCTGCCAAACCTGCTCCGGTGGCTGCTGTGTCTCCACCACCTACTCAGGCAGACAGATTTAATCCAGATGTTCTACTAAGAAAAACACAGGCACTGTTGGAGGAATATTTCAGCATTAGACTGCTGGATGAAGCATTGCAGTGCGTGGAGGAACTAAAATCTCCAGCATACCATCCTGAGGTTGTTAAAGAAGCAATCTTGATTGCATTAGAGAAAAGCCCACCTTGTGTTGAGCCAGCTTCACAGCTTCTGGAATACTTGTTTACAAAGAAAGTTCTCACGGCTAGAGACATTGGCGCTGGATGCCTGCTCTATGGTGCCTTGTTGGACGATGTTGGCATTGACTTACCAAAAGCACCAAATAATTTTGGAGAAATAATTGGGAAACTTGTTTTGGCTGGGGGTTTAGATTTCAGGGCGGTGAAGGAAATTCTCAAGAAGATTGAAGATGACTTCTACCAGAAAGCTGTATTTGATGCAATAATAAGAATTGTTAGCTCAAATCCTTCGGGGAAAGTGCTGTTGGATGCACAGGCAACCGACGTTGAGGCCTGTAAGAGTCTATCCTAGATTTTGGATTCTACTTTTAGTTACTATATCCGTCCGTCCATCCGTGCACACGGACTGGTGCTTTTTTAGCATCACTCACCGGTTTCCCCCCTTTTTGAGGCGAGAAACCATCCAATGACGGGTAGATTTTCATTGAGTTGTATATTTTTCTCCGGGTTTGCCAAGATGTGTTTTATTAAGGGGAAAAATCGTAAGTGTTATGTATTTTGCCCTTTGGCTAATACATGTTCCCGGGGGGGGGGGGGAATGCTCACCCTTCCTAAAAGAGGATCCAGTTGTTTGCTACTTTACAGTTTTTTTTACCGAGTTATTTATTTAGTTTGTTTTGGAACTTTGTTGTCTCATTAATCTTCAGTTTTTATATAACAATCTCTTGTATTTTATTTTTATGTATTTAATGTGTGCAAGTTCTAGTTCTTGCATTTTATTTTTATGCATTCGTATGGGAGTCGTTTGGGAAATAATTCAAGTTCTATCTTCTATCTTTTCAGAAACTAACTTGACGTCGATAGAATTTTACTAGTCTGATATTGATGAATTTGGTTTGTATTTGTTGATTTATCATTCAAAATTGAACTGAACCGAATATTTAACATGAACCCAACTTTGATTGAATAGAACGGGTACGAGGATGATATCCTTGCTATACGTGTACGAATCACAAGCAGGTTATTGCGGCGATGTTCTGTTCTCCCTGCTTGGTTTTCTTTATCCTATTTCGGGCGAAAATTTTCAAATTTGTATTCTCTATCCAATGTTGGGGCGTAAATTCTAACTGAAACTAAAATTATTGTATAAGAGAGGTGGAGTTTGAACAAACATTAATAAAAATTAAAAACATAGTATCTTTAAAAAAAATCTAAAAGACAGCTCAATAAAAAAAATATATGTGAAAGGATAACTTCGATAACAAATAAAAAAATCAATAGTTAAATGATGAAAGTAGAAATATAATAAAAAAGTGACCAAATAATTTACAGTAAAATAATAGCACTAAATTGGTGCTAATATATATATAAGGTCCAAAGCCAGCTATGGGGGTGGAGCCAAAAGAGGGGATTGTCTCAGGAAAGGCAGTTAATATACGGTTAATATACGGTATTACCGGATACATTAAAATGTATTTAATAAATTCGGTTTAGCGGTACCTATTATGTTGACAACTAATAATGTTTTAGGTAGAAAATATGAAAAACTATTAAAAATTTTGGTAACCGGTAAACTTTGGTTATCGGTAAGTATCTATCCTTTTTATAAAAGTGTCCATATTTTTAACATATCAAGTAAATTTTACCGGTTTTGTCATAATGAATCTGATTTTGTCATATTTTTACCTGTTATATTGTAAAGTATCTATCCTTTTTATAAAAGTGTCCATACTTATTTCACAGTGAAAATATATTTATTATTATCTTTGGTTAATATTGTTAAATTTAAATTCTAAATAATATTTTATAAAATATCAAAACAATCAAATAATTTTTTGTGTAAATGAAATTATTAAATTAATATTGTAGGTGGAAAACATGAAACACTATTAAAAAAAATTGAAACATAAATTACATAACTTTAAACAAAGTATATATCATTTTTATAAAAGTGTCTATACTTATAAAGTAGGTCTAAGTCATGAAGAAATATTAAAAAATTATACTACCGGTTCGTGTCGATCCAAATTAAAAATGTGTCGATCCAAAACGATATAACAGGTAAAACTATGACAAAACCGGTATAGAAATGATAAAACCGGTAAAGCGCTACCAGATACATTTAAAGTGTCGGTACTTTAATATAAGGATCGACACTTCGTGAATTTAAAAGAGAAGCAGTTTTAAATCCTATAAAGTGTCGATACTTTTAAAAAATGTATCGATCCAAAACGATATACCAGGTAAAAATATGATAAAACCGGTAACAAAATGATAAAACCGGTAAAACGTTACCGGATATATTGAAAGTGTCGATACTTTATATAAGGATCGACACTTTGTAAATTTAAAAGAGAAGCAGTTTTAGCACCTATAATGTGTTGATACTTTAAAAAAATATCGATCCAAAACGATATAACAGGTAAAAATATGATAAAACCGGTATCAAAATGATAAAACCGGTAAAATGATACCGGATATATTGAAAGTGTCGATACTTTCGTAAGTACGTGTAATAAATTATCGACACTTTCAAAGAAATAGGTAATTATCCTTTCGAAAGTATCGACACCTGACATAAAAGTATCGACACTTTTGTATTTGTATCGATTAAATATAAATAACATATCCGATGAAAATATAAGCTAAATATCCTCTGAAAATAGATAGAACGGACGAGTTTTTGAAATCGAAGCGTAATTGTTGCTGCATTTCTGAAGGCGTTTCTAAAGCGAAGTTTGTTTGTTTGTTGCTGCAGTCGAATCGAAAAGTATGTTGTCAAAACCTTATTTTTTTTATTATTACAATAATCGCGATAAGGTTTTTATGTTTTGGGGTTTTGGAGTAAAGTAGCATTTGGGACCGATTGCAGGTAGAAAGTGATATTCAAAGAAAAATATAAATGTCGATACTTTTATTAAATATTATAGGTAGAAAATTATATTATAGGTTGTATAAATGTGCCGACACATTTTGGTGTGGCCATTCAAATTCTTTTGAAGAAAACCGTTTTACCACAAGAGTAGTTATCTATATTTGTATATTGAATAAAGTGTATGTAACAAAATAATTTGATTTGCGTAAACTGATATATGAAGGAAAAATGGAGTCAATGGGTTGGAAAATTGTTGGTGGAGCAGATGACTTTGAAATTGAGGCCGAGACTCGAAAGTAACCAAATGGTGGATATATGTACTTCTAGTAAGTATCAATGTCTTTTTGTTATTATTGTTGAAATGGTAATTGGATTAAAGTATCGATAAACTTTAAATTAATTACAAATTTTAAATGTTGACAGTATGACTGAATGCAAAAGGATGAAGGAAGATGGCACACAGAGCGGTTCGGTATGTAAAATGAAATTGACATTAAGTAGTATTTAGTGTTAATGTATTGATTAAGAAACGTTTATGTTTTATATTAGGTGACAAAAGATGTGAGGTCCAAATGGAATTCAATGAGTGATGCTGAAAAGGAACCTTACATCACACAGTCAAGGAATGATAGTAAAGAATACAAAGAACGGAGGAAAGCACATGAAAATAAGGTATTCATTAAACTTGTAAATACGTTGATACAAAATATATAAGAACTATAACATTATATATTGTTAAAAAATGTAGGAAGTGTCGACAAGATGCAGCATTAAAAGGGTGAATTTATTAATTAAACACCTTAAGGAGAATTGTTCAGTTGAATGTGCTGGGAGAAATAGGTTTTGGATCGTTGGTAGGAGTAAGGGATCGACCTATTCGGAGGGAATTGTGTCGATCCTTGATGGCGCAATTTGATGTCAGTCAATGTATTGCTAAATATGGTGATTTTTCATTTCCTCTCGGGATCCCATGTGCTGCAGCCGTATTGGGGGTAGAAAATGAAGGCAAAAGTGTTGTAGAAGTCTGTAAGAGTAAGGACTGGAAAGCACTTGCCTCCAAATATGGTTTGAAGCATAAGGTGACATATGCTGAAATTGAAGAGGAAATAAAAAGTGGATCTTACGTTGGGGATGAGCTGAAGGCCAGAGTTCTATTATACCTTGTCGGTATCTTTCTTTGTCCAACGGGTAATACGTCAACGAACAAAGAACATATGAAGCTCATTTGTGATGAAGGCTTGAAGGGTGAATTCAATTGGGCTGAATATATCCATTCGAGATTGATTGAATCAATAATCACCTTTAAAAAGGGCAGCCAGAGATACCTCAAAGGGTGCATAGCAATCTTAGAGGTAAATGAGTTGAATAACTTTTTTGTGTTTTTATATAAAAATATAAATTTTATTATAAATGCAGGTTGCACTGTTCGATTTTTGGTCGGGCTGTGAGGCAGTGCCGGCTTATGAAAGAACCGGAGTGGCACGCATCCGTGCATGGGGGAAGGAAGAGGTGGTTAGAGTGATAGTGAAGTTGAAGTTGGATAGAGCGAAGAAGCAAGAAAGGGTAATAAATGTAATTAAATAATATTAAGAATATAATCAATGTCTTAATATTGTAATTTAATTTTGAAGGTTATTGGCAAGGATGTAGAGGAGGCAGTGGAGGCAGAGGAGAAGAAAGGAGGGATGGTTGTATTAGGGGATGACGGTGAGTGGGACGACGGTGAGGGAAAACATAGTAACTTCGACATTTTGATGTCTGAATTGGCTGATATCAAAAAAATCTAATTTGAAATCATGCAAAGACAATCAAGAGTCGAAGAGAAACTTGATAGAGTCGAATAGAAACTTGAGAGAGTCGAAGATACACTTGAGAGGCATAAGGGGGTAGTGGAAGGAAAAATAGATGGAGTGGTGAAAGAAGTAGAGGTGTTGAGGGGTGAAGTGGTGAAAGAAGTTGGGGTGTTAAGGGGTGATATTAAGATGGTGACGGGTGAAAAATTTGAGGGAGTGGTGAAGGAGGTTGTGGAATTGAGGAGTGAACTTACGGGGGTGAAGGGGGTGGTTGATAAATACTTGGATGAAGGAGATCAATTGAAGGGTGAAATAAAAGAGATGAAGAGCTATGTAGAAAAAAATACGATGAACTGAAAAATATGAAGAAGAAAAGAGGGAGGAGGAAGAAGAAGAGATGGAAGAAATGAGGAGGAAGGAAGTCGATGTCATTTATACACCGGAGAGTGTTATAGCAGCAGATTTGGATTCGGAATGTCCTGCACCCCAGAAGAAGAAGCAGAAGGTAAGTTGAATAAAAGAAAACTTAATTTGATTTTTATTATGTTGTTGTGATAAAAATTTGTATACAAAATTGTAGGTTGAAAAAGCGGATATTCCAAGCGGAATTGATGACATCGAAGCTGCAATTTGTGATTATTTATGGAATAGCGAGTTAGAATCGGAGTAAGTGAAATATATTGCTTTGTGAGTTATATTTAAATATTTCATGACAACATATTAATCCTAATGATTCATACAGGTATTATTAATATCAATGGGAAATCAATTCGCTAGTGTATACGACGTTGCAACGTTGAAGCCTACGGAATGGGTTGGCGGTGTGGTAAGTAGAAAGTAGAAAATGTTAAAACTTATTTAATATGTTCTGATTGTGTAATTAATTTTGTTAGGTTATTGATTTGCTCGCCTGGACAGTATGCTACGATTCTCAGAAGTCACTCCGGAGGATTGGCTACCTTCCATACCACTTAGCGGTGAGTTAAATTAATAAATGGAGATAAGTAGTGTTATAGACGGTAAATTAATAATGTTTGTTGCGTAATTGCAGCAGCAGGCGTTGGATGCCAACAGC